ATTGTCCAATTTACCTCGTACCTAGTTCGAGATTCCGAGTTTCGCGTACTTAGTTCGGCAATCTTTCCTTCTTGCGCTTGCAGGCCCAAACCGATGCAACTATGAGTAAGGAGTTGAGACAGGTTGCAAATGGCTTCGACAGTAAGGTGAAAGCTTATTCAGGTTATGATGTGAATGGATATCGCTTTCACACAAGAAGCTACGAGCGAGCTCGGCCCCATCGAAAAACCACAAACAGCGGAGTTTGTACTCCCGGCATTGATGGCCTCGAGTATCATGGCATAATTGAAGATATCTATGAACTTGAATTTTATGGTTCGAAACCTCTTCGTCTCGTCATGTTCAAATGCCACTGGTTCAATCCTCGACTAACGAAACGGAGCCCTAATATTGGTCAAGTCGAGATTCGACACGATTCCATCTATCAAGGAAAAGATGTCTTTATTGTGGCGGATCAGGCCGTGCAGGTTTATTATTTGTCATACGCATGCCAAGGCAACAAGGCTCTTCAGGGTTGGTCTATTGTGCACCAGGTATCGCCACATGGTAGACTAGCTGTCCCAAACGATGAAGATTACAACTTCAACCCAAACACATATGATGGAGAGTTCTATCAAGAAGATGGGCTACAAGGGAGGTTGGTGATAGACTTAACCGAAGCGATTGGAATGGAAGTAGACAATGAAAGGGTTGATGACGAGGAAGAAGGAGATGAGGTGCAAAATGCCAAGGACATAGAAATGCTTGAGCGATTACATTTAGATGATGACGATGAAGGCAACATTGAACCTCTGGACAGTCTTGTTTATTTGGACAATTTTGATAGTGATGACGAGACATATGATCTAGATAATCCCAATAATGATGATTACTTCTAATACATGTAATACTATGTTATTTTGTAATCGTGTTTTGTTTATTTACTTAGCATCTATTTCTAATACATGTAATGATGTCTTGTTTGTTTCTTTTTAATTGCAGGTGATTGAACAAAGATGGCGGGCGGTAGTGGCCCAAGGAACGTGAACTCGAGGTACCAGAGGGCACGTCAGGACGTAGATGCCGGAGAGAACGCATCGGACGGGAGGAGGCAGAGGGCCAGGAGCAGCGGCAGCAGGAGGGGCCGGCCTCCTCTAGTCAAGTCGCGTGACGTGCCGGAGGAGCGCCGTACCACGGACTCCTCGGAGGACGAGCAGGTTCTGGCGACGGACGAGGTTCGGGCGACGGACAGCGAGGGAGAGGCACAGGAGGGCGGCGAGGCCGAAGTTGTTCCACTGCCTCTGCTGCGGCTAGCCCCTACTTGCGAGGTCCCTCAAAACTCCCTGGGCCTCCGCTTCCTCCCCTACGCCCAGTGATCCGCCCCCAGGGGGACAGGTAACTAACTTTAGATTTAATCACAGCTACTTCATATAACCTGTAGAAAATTGTCAGAGAAACTAATAATGTTTGTTAATGACTTGTGCAGGCACTGGGAGGTTGTGTCGCCTGGTGACTCACGCAACCCCAACCACATCTTGGGGCTTGTGTGCAGGCACTATTACCCCAGCATTGTCACGCACAAGGGGACTGTGGGGCCGGCCAAATCGTGGGACCACTACAAATCTACCCTCGACGCAGAATATGAAGACAAGCAGGAGCGGGTCAGGAGAGAGTTCTGGGTAAGTCTCGTTCGCACAACTTTGATCAATACATCGCATTCATTTGACACTTTTTGACATAATGAATTGATACATTGTGTCTGTCTGTAGACTTTTTTCAGGTGTGAAGAGGGACAGGAGGAGAGGGCGGAGAAGAACTTGGTGAAAAGTGCCAGGAAACGCATCAGCGACATGCACTACGAGGAGCGCCTCACTTGCATCATCAAGTACTACGCCACGCGACTTGGTCAGAAAGTCAGCAAGACACAGGCAAGACAGATGTCTCTGACCCGGGAACAGTACATTGAGGTAAATGAAGAAGAATAATACTGATTCGTTTTGAGATTAAGTAGCTTTCATTTGGTCGTCTTACATCTCAAATTCTTTATGACATGTAGATGATTCCATGGTGGTGCGAGTCCTTTGCCGACTGCTGGGAGATGATCGTGGACAGGTGGTTCACAGAGGGTTATATCCAGGAACACGAAGCCCACCGGGAGCGGGCTTTGCAGGCGACAGGCCCCACACACCACCAAGGCAGCCGCAGCCTTGGCGCATACAAGCAAGCTTGGGTACGTGAATTCATTTTTAGTATTCTGACGCTCCATTCTGCATGTTTCTTCTAATCATCTTGTTGTCTTTCTCGCAGTCGGCGTCGCATGGTGGCCAGCCTTTGTCCACGTTCATGGCGTATGGACTGGCCCGCAAGGGAAAGGCGACTTCCGCTGTCACCTTCAGCCCGGATGACCCACCCGAGTCATACAGCAACCCGAGCGTCCACACCCGCATCAGCTCCTACGCGTCGGACGCAAGGTCGGTCCAGGGGCCAGACTGGGATCCGAGCACCGACGACATTGATGGCACGACTGTCATGAGGATCGGACAGGGCAAGAAGCATGGGCGGTACTGGCTTGGCGATGGCACCCTCGAGTCCGGCTCTGTTCCCTCCCTCTCCCAGATCCGAGCAAGTACCCCGAGCGGAGGCCCGGCCATACGCCAACGGCCGTCCCCTTCACAGCAGCGGGTCGACGCACTCCAGGTTAGTCCAGTTTAACTCTTCATACATTGATCTTTACATAACTTAGTTACCTTTACATTACTAAAACATTCGATTGAAATGTTGCAGGCCGATAACGAGAGGATGGCTCAGGAGCTGCGGGACCTGGCGGCGAGGACCGAGGTGGCCGAGCGGGAAAGACAAGCCGAGCGGGCCGAGCGGGAGAGACAGGCCAAGCAGCTGGCGGAGATTACGATGTTCCTGCAGAACTTTGGGCAAGTGAACGGTGTACCTGTGCCGATGTTCGCTCCAGCGCCGCCGCCAGTTGTAGCTAGTCTAGTGAGTATGAATCCATATTGCTTCGACTAGTGCTTTCATTAGATGACCCACTCTAAGCGCCTGAATCTCTTGTCCTTTATGCAGCCTCCGTCGGCGGGTTCGAATGACCCATCTCAGGCGCAAGCAGGTGGTGCCGAGTTTCCTTCACCAGGCACTCAGTTTCCTCCCCACCTTTAGTTTGTATCTCTTTTTCACCGCTTGATGGACATGTGATGCACTGTGATCCACTATCGACTTGTTACGATGGTAATTGGACCTATTATGTTTGTGATGTCGTGTATGTGAGGTATTGTATTCGCGATGTGATATATATGTGTGGGATTGAGTTTGTGATGAGATGGATGTGATATATATGTGCTATATTGTCTTTGTGATGCTTCAGATGTGATACATATCTTTTATATGTTGTGTTTATGATTATAGAATCAAAAAACAAAATAAAAAAAATTAATTTTGAGGCTTTGTGGGTGCCACAACCACAGCACTTTCGGCAAAGTCAGGAATTCTGAAGGAATTCCCAGCTTTGCCGAGTGCCGAGTCCAGGCACCCGCAAAAAGTTTTTTCAAAAAATCTTTGCCGGGTGCCCCATGACCGGCACCCGCAAAAAAACTACGAAAAAAAAAAAAAACTCTTTGTCGGGTGCCCCTCGGTGAGACACCCGGCAAAGAAATTATAAAAAATAAAAACATCTTTGCCGGGTGCCTCCCGGACGCAAGCACCAACAAAGAAAATTTGAAAAAAAAAAAATTAAAAAAAAATTTTGCCGGTGCCTCGATATGGCACCCGGCAAAGCAAGGATAATGATTGAGCGCGCCAGAATTCACCACTTTTTCTTGCGGGTGCGGGTTTGCACTCGGCAAAGTCTTTGCTTGGTGCCGATAAAAAGCACCCGGCAAAGAAATCTTTGCCGACTAACTTTTTGCCGGAGGCTCTTTGCCGAGTGCTGCACCCGGCAAAGGCTTTGCCGAGTGCAAAGTAGCCTTTGCCGGGTGCATTCGGCACCCGGCAAAGCGCCTGAATCCAGTAGTGTAGGTTCGGAGGACACTGGAGATTTCTCTAAAACCTAACCCTAGGCACGTCTACCCCACCGTCACTCGCTCTAGAGATTTCCCCAAAGCTCAAAACCTAACCGTAGACCGGTCTACCCTACCGCCAACTGTCACCCGTAATGCCCACCTCCCACTCGCCCCGCCCGCTCGACGCCCTCCCTGACCAAGGGGCTTCACGAGGAAGGCGTGGTGCGTTGGTACAGTTAAGGTGCACGCGTGTCAAATAAGAATTTGGCAACAACCATGCTTTGCTTTGTTAAAAATAACAAATTTAGAAAGCCATGCATGCTTGCAAACCCAAATATCCTCATGCATGCATCCAGGTAATTACCGTACCAGCATATACACAAAATTAGAGGAGGATTAAGGCCCCGTTTGGCAGGGCTTCACTTCACTAGTGAAGCTATTTTATTTGGCTTCAGCTCCACGAACAGCTCCACCGGTGGAGCTAAAGCGGTTTTGGTAAACCGTTTGGCAAAATGGCTTCCCTGTGAGAGCATGTTTTTAGGGGTCTAGAGGAGGAGCCGGGAGAAGCCACTATTTTTGGCTCCTTCCCACCCCAAAGCTGTGTGAGAGCACGTTTTTAGGGGCTTCATCGGTGGAGCCGTTTCATTTTACCCCGTTTGGCAGAAAACGGCTCCAAACGGCTTCTGAAGCCGCTGGAGAAGCCCTGCCAAACGGGGCCTAAGGCATGCAGGTTCTAGCTTTTAATTTGCTGCTGTCTTCTTGTTAGCCGAATGGCACGACGACGACACCAATGACTGAGATCAGGTATGTCCATGCATGTACATGACTAGCTAATTAACGACGCCACGATACAGGTCCAACAAACCAAACCATGCACACAATTCAGCGTCACACAGCAGGTGCGGGTCTACTAGTCGATTTAATATCATCACCTAGCACACTACATGCTTAATTAACACACGACGGGGGTGACCAGCATCATCATCAGGTCAGCTGTTTCGAGCTAGCTAGCTAATAACTTTGAGATGGATCAATGGCGGGAGTGAGCGAGAGAGAAGGCTGCTGTTCTTTCAGATGCTCCCTCACGGCCATCTGGCTCATGGCGGCGGTTCCCTGCTGCCGAGCCCGCCGCACGGAGATCTCTCCTTGCATGCGCCTGGACCTACTGGAGCCACTGACCCCATCGACGCCAGCATCTTCAGGAACACTGGCTTTCTCTGGACCTACTGGACACATCAGCTTGTGCTTGCCCGCCGCGCTGGAACCACTGCTGCCTTGCTCTTGCGCCGGCAGCCTTACCTTCACGCCCCGTATCAGCTGTGGATACAACAGAAACGGTTTCAGGGGTTATGAGTTGCTGCTGCTGAAACCCAAGTGCACAAGAAGATCAAAGATGCACTGTACACTTGAGATTGACATCTACATACAAACAGTGGCATGCAAAACAATTGTGTTGAATTGCCGTACAGCTTTCAAGGACATCGACCAAGACACTTGACCAATGCATAATTTACAGGCATATGTATATGGATCTAAAACGAACATATATAGCAAGGAAATAGACAGGAAGAGGACATTACATATTTGCCCGACTTGACATCGGAGTAGATCACTATGAAATCCCCCTCCTGAAGCTCATTGGAACGAACAAATTCTCCTGCATGTTGAGAAAAACAGAAAAATGTTTAGATCAGAACATGACAAAGAAAAGATGTGTCGATCAAGATCGGATGGATAGAAATAATAACGTAAGATCCTCTCACCTGTGTTCTCTAACAGATACATTCTGCTCTTGTTGTTGGGCCAAAACCTACGTGCATGCAATAAGGAGCTGATGAGGCACTGACATTGCACTGGCAACGTCGATACTATACCATATAAATAATAAATTTAATTTGCACTTTCAGAACAAAATATCACCAGATCATATACAAATACAAAAAAAAGAAAGCTACCTATTTTGCATATAACTTCCAGTATTGGAACAGGTTTTTTTTTTCGAAACTCGGTAAGAGAATTGCTGAGGAACTTTGATGGCGTTTGGTTCGATGAAATGTAACGCAATCTGTTTATTTGGGGGACTGGATAGCGGTTCGATTTTGTCCGTTATGCAATACCACGTAATCAGATATTGTCCTATTCATCGGTGATACCGCTCGTCTCCGACCCTTATTGCGCTGCCGCCGTCTCTCTATATTACAGTTACACTGTGCTACCGTTACAACACCGAACTAATCAAAGTCAGCAATAAACGATCCCACCGACTAAACCAACGTGAGCTGATTTCATTTGCGGTTACGTTACACAAGGATGAACCAAACACCACATTTATTAGTAGGGGAAAAACCAAATCAGAAAAACGAGACACACAAAGACAAGAAAAGCATGAAACAAGAAAGAAGAAAAAAAGGGAGGAAGGAGGGAAATAGAACAAACACAACTACGGCCGCTGCTAAAGATTTGCAACCGGCTGCCAAAACTCGCAGCTTAAGGACGCCCACCTAAAGGAAGTAACAACTGCCTTGAAATAACTCGAGCTATAGCAAGTTTTTTTTTTTTTTTTGAGGGAAGCTACCACAAGTAGTTATTAGCAAGCTGGAGGAAGAGGCCATTTTCAGAACAAATATCACCTGATGGTGCTGAGCATATGCAGAATATTTTAGTACTGAAACAACAGAGATTAGCAAGTTGGAGAAGAGACATGTTTATTGCGTGCAGAATTCCGTGTATAGACGAGTGCATGCCACTATTTGCTCCTGGTATTCTCATCAGTATATTCATATGACCCACTTGCCCAATTGGGAAAGAAAGGGACCATGCCACAGTGATGCCGTACTCATGCCATTTTCTATTTCTGGCCCAGTAGGGAACACGCAGTTTTCAATCAATCAAACAAAGGAAACAGATTCGAGGGAAACAACCAACAAATGGATTTATCAATGCTCGGCTATCCCAAATAATCCCTAGCCCAATGACACTCACCTGTACCGCATGTTCCATACGCGCGATGTTCCAATGTCCTCCATGGGGATGGAGATGCCATCCCTCGACTTGAGCTCTGGCAGGTGAACCTCCGCTTCCTTCTGAATCGTCCAAAGAAGACAAGACGATTTTTAGGAGAGATACCAAACCATGGCCAATTTAATTTAAGAAGGCAAGACGATTTGAAGAACAGATTCAAATGCAAGCAGTTTGCAAGCTTTGATGTATATATAGATCTATGATCTATGCATGGCCGATTTTAGTTCAAGAACAGAAGTGCCCAAGCGGATGCAGCAGGCATGCACGAACTAGATTTATATGTGCAAGTGGGGGGCTAGATATATGATGCAGATCATGAAGGGCGTCGTCTGTCTCACTTTGGGGAGCACGATGCGGCCGAGGCTCCCGACGTCGCTCTGCTTGAGCACCTTCTGCAGCAGGAACCGCAGGTTCTTGTCCGCCTTGGCACCCTGCAATCCCACACACATGTTCATCAGATCCATGCGCGAACACCACAGGAACACGCATCGAATCCGTACGCGAGCATACGGCGCACGCACGTTTCATGCGTGCTCGATTGCTCGTCGACAGCGATGTGCGTCTGTCTATTATTACGAGCAAACAGAAGACAGATTGGTATAGATCTCGTGCTAGCTAGCGATGTGCCGAGCTCTGCATGCATATGCACCTGCCGCTTATCTGAAGCTGCTGCCAGGCGCTGGGGACTGTCGTCCTGCCGAGCACCAGACGCCGCCAGTGGCGCGGCCACCGCTTCCAGGGAGGGAGGCACCTGCTGCACCGGCGCCCTTGAGTAATTGGACTTGATGGAGAGCGGGTTCTGGACCTGCTGCTGGCTGCTCGGCGACCTGCAGAATCCCCAGCCACCGGCTGAGGGCGTGACCGGCGTGGAGTGGGCCGACCGAGGGGACGGCTCCTGCGGGTGGACGGAGTCCTGGATCTGGCCCAGGTTCAGCTGCTGGCTGCGCTGCTGCTGCAGGCAGGACAGGCGCCGCTGTCTCGCCATGCGCTTCTTACGGGCCTCCTTGGTCGCCGAGGCCTCCACGCCTGCCATGCGCTGGGGGGCCATGGTGGGGTGGCCGGCGGCGCCGGCGGCGGTGTACTGTCCGCCGAATCCGGGGGAGAACGGCTGCGTCATAGGGTAAGAGCCCGTGGAAGCCCCAGGTGGTGGGAACGGCACGTACTGCTGCGGCCAGGCCATGTTTGAGCCGCCGGCGCCGTGCATGTCGCCCACCGTCGGCGGGGAGAACGGCTGGCTGTTCACGACCACGCTGCTCGTGCTGGAGCTCTGGTGGAAAGGGTATTGTTGGCCTGCCGCGCTCGGGTACACCGCGTCGCCGCCGTACGCAGGAGGCGTGAATGGCTGCTGCTGGTAGGGCATCCAGGATGTGCCGCCGGCTGCGGCCATGTCCTGTCCGCCCGCGGGGAACTCGTATCCTGCGTTGGCGCCCGGGCTGGGGAGGTGGCCGTGCAGGCCCGCCGCCTCCTCCATCACGTCGCGAGGGCGCTTCCTCTGGAGGTGGTGGTTCTGCACCCAGGTGAGGATGAGCTTGAGCAGCTGCATGGTGCCCTGGCGCCCGCCGCCGAGCCGGGCTGCGGCGGCCTCGATGGTGGAGCGGCGGAGGCGGATCCCGCGGAGATCCTCGGCCGAGATGTTTTCACGGTTGCTCGTGAGCCACTCCATGAAGAACCGCGGCAGCTCCTCCCCCGCCGTCGCCGCCGACGCATCCATGCAGGCCTCCTCTCCGCCTGTGGTCCCTTCCAGAACGGCTTTCTCTTCAGGTCTGCCGTCGCCCACCGGATGCGGCAGCGCGGACATATCGTCCTCTAGCATCATGCTAACCTCCGGGAACGGCTCGGAGTCCCACGGCATGGAGAGCGACGCGAAGTCGAGGAGCTGGTCGATGTCATCGAGCGCATCAAACCCTTCCCCGGCCGAAGCAGGCTCGGAAGGCTCGCCGGCGGCGCCATCGGCGCCGCCGCCAGCTCCTCCTGTCGTGTTGGTGTAGGCGCTGGAGGAGTTGGACGAGGAGGACGACGAGAAGGTGGAGCTGGACGGCGACGAGAGGCAAGGGAAGTCCGGGAGGGAGGGCAACGTGTCTTCAGCGAACATGAAGTCATCCGCCGCCTCCCCTCCGATCTCCTCTGCCGGGGCCTCCCCTATGTCGCCACCGTGCTCCGGCGGGTTCTCTTGGGAGTGCGGTGGCGACGAGCCCGCCGAGGCGTCCATGCAGAGAGACACGACGACAAAAGGAGGAGAGAGACGTTGTATGTGTCTGCCGCGGCCGCCTCTCGGTGTAGGTGTGGAGGTGGGTGCAGTTACTGAGGAGACGAACAGGGCAAGCAGGAGGTGGAGGGGGGAAGAAGAGAGAGGAGGGAACCGAGATGCGGCTGCGTGGCACACGTGGCGGCCTCCGGGGGCTGTGGGGAGCGCTTCACCGCCCACGCCAGCCTCTCCTCGGCCACCCTACTTCTCACCCCTGTCGCGCACCAATACCTCTCTCGGAGACGTGGGGCCGGAGAGAAACGAGCCCACCTGTCATTGAGATACAATAAGCCATTACGGGTGAGGTTTCTCTGTGCACTCTCCCAGTCTATGGCAGTGGGTCGAGCGACGCTGTCCCGCATGTCAGTGTCTGTGTGTTTTCAGCTCTGGCCTCTGGGGCGAAGACTTCGCCGCGTTCTAATTTGACTGCTCCTGAAACGGAAACGAGAGCGCCTATGTCTGGCTCGTCAATGATGCGTGGGGCCCGCGAGCCCGTGGCCCCGTGCGTGGAAAAACCGCGTGCGCATAGCTGTTTCGGCGCCGTAGGATGTCCGTGTCGCCGGCGCGCCGACTGAGGCCCGAGTGTTAAGACGAATTCTGACCGTCCGATGCAGACTCCACGTGATCCCACGGACAGAAGCTCCGGTGGGTACCGCAGGCTTGTCTACGAAGGAGAGGGTATTTCTCTACGCGCACGCGTGAAACCTACACGGTGGGGGTACTTCGGTGACTTGAGGTGGCCAGGACGACGTGGAATCCTTCTATTGGTTGCAGCCTTCGCCCTTCGGCGTGTAGTACGAGAGACACGCTTGGAGCCAGTTCATCGGCAGCCATTTTCCGGCTGCACTCTGCTGGGAACTTTCCCTCGGTTCGATTGGGCTGGTTTGGCTTATAAGCCATAGTTAAAAGTATTGTTGACTAGTTTGGTATGAGAAAAAAATATTATTCGTTGGCTGATAAGCCATGGCTTATAAGCCAAATACGACCTAGCGAACATGATGTTTGCCTGTGGATGGATTGAGAACTGGACTAGGAATTCCTTTGGAAACTCCTCGGGTTTTCTTAGCTTGGCTGACATGTTATAAGCCATACTTTTTTAACAAAAAAAATAATATTTTCTCTCATAATAAATCAGCGAACAATATTTTTTAGCCTGATTTATCAGCCAAACAAACACTGCAGTCCTCCTTTTACTTCATCTTTGGCTCGTTGTACTTATGTTATTTTAGCATTTTCCCACCTGTAGAGGCTAACCGTAACTGTGCTGACAAAAAGATGATGGGCGTCTTAAATATGGTGTTGACTGAGGACCAGATTTTCGGGTTATATCAAAATTCAAAAAGATATTATAGATGGTACTAATACATTTACTGTTGGTACAAAACGTTTTTTTTAGTTTCACCAATGCAAATGCTAGTGATGTAGTTTGTTTTATTCATCTGGTTGTAAATATTTAACTTCTTTCCATCTCTAAAGGCCACCTTTAACTACCACACTCTAGTATGTGTTAATGTGTGTATTAATAACTCTAAAATGTGATACATTTTTATTAGAGCGAGAATAAAATAGATTGAAATACAAATCTATCAGAATAACCTTGGCCAAGTTCACAAAGTGAACTATAATGAGGTGGAAGATTTGATAGGTACTATGTATATGATTGTGTATGAAGGAGGAGCGTTTCTCTGTGTAAACGTGAGAACTCCACAATTGAATACTTTGTGGACTTACACTAATCAGGATGATGTGTAAACCTAGTATTGGTATCAAGTTTCAACTTTGTAAGGTTGGTTTGCATGAGTGGCATGCAACATCTAGCTCCGGAAGATCTTCGATTTTTGTTCCACGACTTCCTCTCACGAAAGATAGACTAGTTTTATAAAAGGAATGTATTTCATTAGTACAAAAATGATTTTAAAGACACCCTAGTTCATTTGCAGAGGTGTTTTAGTTCGCATTGAACTACAGATGCCATGGTGGTGTCATGTTAAGAATCTATCGTCATGTTCGTTTGGACTTGTTTAGCTTATAAGTCGTATTTTTTTAGCTAACGAATAGTATTTTTTTCTCACACCAAATCAGCCAACAGTACTTTCAGCAATGGCTTATCAGCCAAACAAGCCCAAGCGAAAAGGGTGTATATTGGCATTATTCTTGACTGTGTCGAGGATCCTAGATCCTCTGCATTATTCTTGACTGTGTCGAGGATCCCGGATCCTCTCCAACTACTGAACCTAATACAACTGAAGGTTCCAGTTCATAAGCTGCCGCAGGCCGGCCCAAGCGCGCTGTCCGGGCCAACTACCGCGTCGTTGGACCCGAGTGACCAGCTAGATGCTCTGTGTGCTCTGTGTGTGAGGAGAGGCACGAGACAATTGTAACAGAATTGAACTCTACTAATCATTCATCGTTCTACTCATATCCTCCTGTCGCAGACCTCTTCTTTTCTTTCCTTTCCCTTCCCCAAGTTATCCTAATAGACTGGAATGATATTCTGATAATAGCTGGCTAATAACTCATTATCAATCTGATTTGGCCTAGCTAGGCTCTATTTGAATCCCTATATATAATAGTTATCTCCTTTGGATCCGAACTAATAAAATAGCTAATTGCTAGCTGGATCTCACTAGTTGAATTAAATCAGATAATAGCAGTTAATAGTTATCTTAGTAGCATTATCTGTGTATCTAAATACCCTCCAACTAATAGTTAGCTACCTAATATTAGATATGAACTATTAGCATTAGCTGATAATGAATCCAAACAAGACCCTAGTAGGATAATTGTTATTTAAGATCTAGCTAATAATTAGCTAGTCTATTATACCGTTTGGATCTAAAAAAAATAATTACTGTCTAGGGATCCAAACGGGGCAAAGGATGAGCCGGACTGCCGGAGCGCCGTATATTAAAATCCCACCTGGCGAGGAGTCGAGATATAGATCCATGATGATGGGAATTACTACTACAGTATATGTCTATCAAGCTCTATACAGTAACCCTTTTATGTAGCCGTGTTGTGTTGTGCAATGTCCCTCGAGAAGTTAATACAACAATCTCTTGTTTAGTGATCGTAACGTTACTCCAACCTCCAGGTGTCGTGCTTCGTGTAGAGACAAAAGAAATAATCGCAAGACCAGTGATCCGCTACCCTTGTAACATGTTTGGCGTTAACAAATAAAGATATTCGCGGAATTGAAACTATGACTTCAAATTCCGGATCAACAGCTTTGTGAAAGACGGAAAGAAACTTAATTTTGCCAAACTATTGATTCACATCAGAATCGAAACATTGGATAATCTATTCTGTATTTCACAAGTGACTTCCACATGCGAAAATTGGTTCACGTCAGAATCCAATGATTGACGTAGCAAAATTGAGAATCGGAAAAAATCCCCACAGTATGGCGATTATAAGCTAAAACAAACAGAATGCTCGGGATCTGAGAGTGAGAGGATATTCTCAGTGTTGCTTGGTTGAGAAACTGATACTTTGATATCACAGAGGCCCCTCTGATCGCAGTTGTTATCGTGGCACAGTAATTCACACAAACAAACAAACAAACTGTAGCACACAGCAACCAGCAGCGTTGATCCTGCATTGGTCCAGACCAGCCAGTTGCTTCCCTCTTAAGTTACTGTTCATCAAACCAGCCGAACAGTGTTTTTCTCTGACAACGAACCAGCAGCCGGAACAGTATTTTTCAGCCAAGTTTCAGACCAGTATTTTTCAGCCAAGTTTCAGACCAGTGAACGGGTCATAGCCTTTGATCGTAGCATGGAAAAGGTTGATCTGAAATAAGCAAATACTACCAACACAATGATTATTCCAGCGCAGAAAAGCCACCTCTCAACACAAAGGCAGGAATGGGACCTGTTGTCTAAAACAAAAATTATCCCATCACAGCCAACTAATATACTATGAATTACAAACACAGTGACTGAGGCGTTGCCAATGAGAATCAGCCAAAATTTTGTATATTTGTTAAACATTATTCTGGCATTACAACCAATCAACCTGACACGCCCAACACATAACTCAAAGCTGAACGATGATCTCTGGGCGCACCAGCAAATTGATCAATTAGGCACACTGCTTCAAACGGAAGCAGGGCGTCTGCACAATCTCAGTTCAATACATCGGTCTTTTGATATAAAGGTTCCAGGCATTCTTTCGCTCTATGGACCTTTGACTGGAGATAGAAGCTCCCATTCTTGGCATTCCTCTCAAACATTGTGTCATACTTCTGCAAAGCATTCAAACAGGGGAAACCTGAAGTTAGTTCTGGCTCAGCCAATGGTTTTGTACAGAAGGTTCTAACATAATGGAGTTGGCAGAAGCTAACAGCTGCATGGACATATTTTGTGCATCATAAAAATAGTGTCACACACCTGGACAATCTCTTCCCACGTCGATTTCTCACTGATACTGAGAATTTGCCGGGCTTCTTGCTCGGTCATGGCCTTGCTAGCCCGTCTAATACCATTTATAGCTTCTTGGGCAGCTCCAGTTTTGTTTGCATCTACAGGAAAAGTCAGAAATAATTAATTGATTTTCATAAGGAATATGGCACATGGATAATGTAGCCATGCAGATGTTTTTTTTTGGAATGAAAGCCAACTCTTTATAGGTAAATAGCGGATTAAGTAAGTCAGGTAAGCCATTTAGTTCAGAAGCATTATAGTACCTTCATTCATCTTGCAAAAACAATCTACAAGTTAGCATTTATTTATACAGCTATTGTCATACACAGAACCTAATCAATTCAGTTAAAACAGGTTCCGCATAGAAGTTCCAAACACAGAATCCAAAACTACTTACAAAGTTATGACACTTTGCAGGAAAACAAGGGCTATGATGCGCATTAATAATTTGATCGACAAAAATGTGAACAATATGAAATTGGCTTTTCTATGCATGTATACAAGGACTTCACATATCCTTCAATACTAGGAAAAGCCATCATGGTGATTTTCTAAAGCGAGACATGAATATATCCTACTGAACGAAACAGACATATTATGGAGCTAACCATCACTTATCAGTTCACAAATGCAGAATTGGTTCAAAGTTCTTAATTTTCACATGTTTGATTGAAATTTAACAACAGAACAGTGCAAGCAATGTGCCGATGTCCCTAATCTAAGGACCAACACAAATACACAATGGCTGGGTAGTGGCCACTCCAAACTGTGACAGCCTGACAGCCCCCTTTCCATGGACCAACGCCTCAATATATTTTTTTTTATCCATTATATGCTTCAGAATGTACATGGAAAAATTGACAGATAGCAATAAGAAAAAGAACACATTTTATAATCTCTAATTTGTAACAAAGCTGCTCCAAGTGATATCCCAAAACCTTAGGACGAAGACTGATTACTCAGGTGTCCTACCTCACAAGTCACATGACATATCAGAGAACTGGAACAGGCAGAGGAGACTATTAGGGGCACAAGAACTCAAAAATTCGGTTTTTTTTTAGATTGTGAGCCAGGCACCCCCAAACAAAGAATTGCAGGTAACTCGTAACCACTGACAATTACTCCACAAATCACTAATAACCTCAGGCAGAGACACGCCATGGTTTCACGATTCAAGCCACCGCACAGTCAAAGCAGCTCGGGAATCCTATGTTTTTTGACAACAGGAGAGAGCACTCACTGACGATGGCCTGGCGGTAGGCCTGGAGCATGGCCCTGCCCACCACGGTTCCGCCCATGACGATCAGATTCGCCAGGAGCCTGCCCGCCTGTGTGTTAACCAGAATCGTCAGACGCGAGACAGATAATGAGATATAACCTCTAAAGGCGAAGCGGCTCGCGAACAGAACGCTTGCGGAGTCGAATCGAGAAGAGAATCTAAAAAATCAGCGCACCATAGCGATGTGTCCTCCTTCCCCTCCTGCGACGGCGGCGGCGGCGAAGAAGGCAACCCTGAGACTAGGGGCTGGCCTGGCCGAGAGGGAATAGGAAGAGGCCTCGCTCGTGGGGCACGGCTATAAATGACGAAGACACGGCAGGAAGGCCGTCCTTTAAGCCCGACACGAGCACAGCCCGGCCCGGTGAGATGCGGGCTCGGACTGGTCCGGCCTAAGGGAGCAAGCCGTGTCTAGGCCACTGCTCAGGCCTGTGGGCTGGCCCGGCCTCCCCCCCCCTCCTCACTCCTCCTCTCCCTGCGGCCAGCCCACCGTCCCCGCCTCCCCCCTCCTCATATATAAGCCGCACGTCCGGCGCGGCTCTCCCCCCACGTAGCCCCACGCTCGGTCGCTCCCACCCTGAACCCTAACTCCCTTCCCCTCCCACTCCCCGCCGCCCCGCGCACTCCCCTCCCCCGCGCCGCAAGGCCGCAACCGCACTCGCGGAGTCGTGGCCTCCCCGTGACGCGCCCCCTCACTCGCTCGTCTTCTTCCCGCGATGCGCCATTCACTCGCTTGTAGCCTCATCTTCCTCCCGCGACGCAGCGCGGACGGCCTCTCCCTCCCTCATGGCCTTCCGATGTAACATCCCTGGTGTTACGATCTCGTTTAGCACCGCGATTTAGGCTTAAGTAAAATTTTCAAAACGAGTTCTCATGTTTTTAGTTTAAAATGTACTTGAGGCAATAAGCGAATCCGGTGACCCAGTTTTGTGGACTCGAATAAACGCCCAACTTAAATTACTCAGTGCGTAGAAATATTTAGGAATGACCGATGACGATTCTAGCAAACGGTTTGTTCGGTTAGATTAAGCATGAAAATCAACTTTTATAAATAAAATAAAATCCATTAATAAATAGAACGATACATATATATAAACTCACGGGTTTATTTTGTTAAGCACGAACTGACGAGAAAGAGAGCGCAACAGCTTCGTTTATTTTTCCGGCGTGCAACGTACTCGCCTGGCATTACTTTTGATCACTGTCTCGTTCTCGTCGTGGCCCTGCAATTCGCTGCATTGCAAAGTCTCCTCATCCATCCGCATCCATGCTCCCTGGCTTTTGCTTTGCTTATCTCTCTGACTTGATTACTTCTGTCTACATTTGTCGAGCCGCTCCTTGTTTTCCCTCCCTCACTGCTTGTCTCTGTTTCTTTGATTGCCTGCCTTGCTTGTCTCTGTGGCCACGGTCTTGTCTGTGCCAACCGGAACGCCCTGCCGGCCACGTTGGGCCTGGCCGTCATGCCATCGTGTTTAAGAAGTAACCGAGCCCGCACGCATCTCCTTGCTTGTTCGTCTTGAGCTAGTCTGCGAATGATCTTCTCCTTCTCCCTTCTTAATTTAATTAGCACACATACACTCTTTATTGCTGATCAGCCCCGTTGACACGACAAAGGCACATTCGAGTCCAAGTCCATCATGAATCAACTAGCCCAGTTGACATGTCGAAAGACCAAAGACTACTCAAGTCCATCTGAAATCCAAACACGGTTCACTGCGTCTTGCACGTCTTGCATGGCGGGAACTGTTCACCGCAGAATCATTGTAGCTCAAAGAAAACACTGTTCACCATGGAAAACCATGTTTGCCACAGAAAAACACTGTTCATCCAAGCATCACGTCGTGCACAAGGAGCACTTTATTACCTTTAAGCAAGCTAGTTAGCCACTAATCTTACGACGCGTCGCTGTCGCGCCTATGCTTCTCCAGTTCATTCACAGTAGCCATGCCTAACCTTCTCGTCGTCCTCCTTATCCTCCTCTTGCTTAATTCCATCCCGCGTCTCCTACCTTTAAAAGGATACGCCGAGCCGTTCTGCTCCGCTGCTCACTTGCTTCTCTCAAATCAAGTTTCTCTGTTCTTGCCCGTGAAAGCTGCGTCTATTGATCTCCTTCCTCGAGCTGCAATAGACCAAGGCAGATAGTCCCCATACATCCCATACCTCCCTTCTACCTCCCCATGCCCTTGGATTTGGAAGTCATGGCCAGAATCACCATCAGGCGAAAGTCCAGCAGTTGTCCATGGCGGACGAGCTGAGGAGCACAAACGCCCGGTGCTCTCTGTGTCTTTCTCGAAGAGTCCTAGACATATACCGCTCTGCTCTTTGTTTAGTCCACAGCAGCAGCTTGTCCTATGCCATGTGCTAGTAGCAAAGCCGAGAACCAACTCAGCTCCTATACACGTAAAGTCAAGAGTCGTGAGCCGTTAATCCACTCCACCCATTTCTTTATTCCTTTTCCCTTTCTAATAAACCAGCAGCAGCACGTGGCCACTAATCATGTTTCATTTTCTCTCCTCGTGATTAATTAGCGGCCACCTTGCACAATTAATATCTCCACTATGCTAACTCCGATTCCATCACTTCTTCCTCCTAAATTCATCTAAAATCGAACCCTACCTATCCATAAAGTTTCATAATTTTTGAAATGCAGTTGAATTTATGTGAATATTTATTTGTGTCTATTTGCCGAGTACCGCGAGTTCGACGCCGATGGAGGGACGTCGATGGATCGCGGAGTCATCGGGAGTTGCTGGAGAAATGGTACTTTTGGAAGCGTGATTGGATTTCTAAGAATTTCGGCTGTCGTTGATTATTTACATCTATGCATTTGCATCAATACATATCATAATAGGAACGACGGTGGATCGATGGTATCAACTGGAGTAGGTGAAAAGATGGTGCCAGGGATCATATCACGAAGATGGAATGCTAACTTTTGGTTATATTTTACCCAGGCAAGCCCCGGTGCATAACCCCTACTTTTCTGCAGTTTAAATTATTTTTGTGCATTAAGTTTCAAGGAGTTGAATGAAACCCACTTGCATATATATATCTTTATCATATGAGTCTTACTAGTATGACATGATCGTGTAGATCGCTATGCTACAGGACACCAGTAGAAGTCGAGTGATTGCATGTCACTCATAAGATATAGGAAATATGTTACTATATCATTATCACTTGAAATAAATATAAATGGTGGAAAGGAAAAATGGTGACCGGGTAGGGATATGGTTTGGGTATTGGTGGGTGTAAGAGGTTGTATCGCCGTGGACGCGGGGCATGGCTTGGTTACACTGCTTTCCCTGTCTATGTCGGTTAAGGACCGGTCGTTGCATAAGACTCTAGGCAAGTCATAGACTTATTATCCCGAGCACATACTTGGGTATGGGCGCTTGAAAGACTTGTTGCTCTCTTGTCGTGGGTTTCGGCTCTTTCTGGACCGACTGTTAGGGTTTTGTTTTGGTGGAGGAGATCCTTGCACCGCACTGAGTCCGGGACTCAGGGGCGGGGGCTTGGAGTCCTAGTTTGGACGAGGACCTAGGACCCCAGGACAGGAGGGTGATGGGTTGGTCCTGCTTGTGCCTTGAGTACAAGTGGGACGTGTGTTTTCAGGGTACCTAGCTAGGAGCATTGATTCACGAATCGCTGGGAAATCCGGTATGGCTTGTCTACGCTCTAGCACCGTAGTAAGAACTAAAAGATGAAAGATGGAAAAAGGAACTCTGATTGCTTACCACATGCTTGAAAGTAGCACGGGTGCTTACATAGAATGGTTAGTTAATGAACCAATGCGGCTGTTAATAAAAATCAAATATAAGGACGCACGCTTAGTAATGCTTCCTGCAAATGTAATAAACCCACAAGCCAGATAGCCGTGGATATCCTTGGAGTCTTTTCTTTTCTCCTATCGAGTAAGTCTTGCTGAGTACAATTGAGTACTCAGGGTTTTATTCTCCCTGTTGCAGGTGACAGGTGGAGGCTAGAGCTGACCTTTGTGTGTGGATTCCTCCTGGTGGGCTCAGAGAGGATTTCCTTTACGCTACGATTATAGTTTTTATTTATAACTCTCACCAAATGTTTTTATAAATAGAAGTTCTATAATCTGTTGTCATAGTTTATTTATCTATGCTTCATCATGCTATGAAAAGCTATTTATTTTCCGCTGTAATTCTGATCACCTGTTTATATTTCGCTGTTCAATTAAATTATTCATAACTCTGATAATAAGATTACATTCCGCTGTTATTATAATAAATGTTATACTCTGATGTACATGTAAAGTGATGTAAGAAATGGTTAAGAATGATGTAAGCTTTATTATCTCATTTATGATCCTAATGAAAAAAATATGGATTTTCGGGTTCTCCCCTGGGGTGTGCCCGACGAAACCTAGTAATTTAGTGTTCTCCCTTGGGTGCTTAGTGTCTAATGGAAGACGAGCACTCCTAGGAGGCATTAGATTAGGCGGTTCTGCCACACCCGACGGCGGCAGTGACGCAGTGTCGAGCGCTGTTGCGGCGGCGTCGAGCTCGGCAGCAGCAGCAGCGTCGAGCGGGCAGCCTCCTCCATCCTCCATGGATCTGGCCTCCTCCATCCTCCTCCTAGCTCCTACCGCCGAATCCGACGGTCGCCGCCAGCCCGCCACCTCCCGTGACTCGAGCAGCTCGCGTCGACGACCTCCCCTCCCCCGCCTCGTTCTCTCTCTCTTTCTCTTGGGCTGTGGTTGCGGGCTTCGAGATGGCCCGGTCTGCACGGCCTCACTCGCACCCCGCTTCTCCCCACGCGCGACGTGGGAGACAGGCCTCCTGCCCTCCTGGCCACCCACTGCCGCTGCTGCCGTTGGAGCACGCGGCCGATCTGAGGACCTCGTCCTCCGTCCTCTCTCCCTTCCCCTACTGATGTGGGCCTCGGGCCGGCCTGGCCTGTTAAAAAGGCTATGCTTTCTGGGACGGCCCGGCACGAAAAGTGGCCCGATAGGCCATGCATGGGCTGTCGGCTAGGCACGGTGGACTGGGGCGG